TTCAGAAAAAGGAGCAACCGTGGATCTTACAAGTTGTAGGTGTCACGACAAAAGGAAGTCCTCATGGAAATGCTGCAGATGAAAGGTACAATGTGAGCAGTCCCTTGGGGACAGGTAACCGGCTCACAGCTAGAAGTCACCAAGGCCGTGCCCTTCGGGAATAGCTTTGACAAGGAGCTGGAAGAGAAGCAGGTTCTGGCCGGACCCCTGTGCTAGCATCTATAACATGAAATAGTTCACACTGTTTCGCTTTATGGTTCCCTGTGAGGAATTCTAGCTTAACAAGTAAAGAAATAAATTCAACTAGAAAGGGTTATTTGCTCAATGGCCAGTGACAGAGCAGAATTTTTTAAGTGTTCATTTATTTTTTGCAGTGCTGAAGATTGAACCCAGAGCTTCATGTATGTTAGGCAAGTGCTCACCCCTGAGCTGCACCCCCAACTCAGCAAGGCCAAATTTGGGGTTTAGATGTCCTGAGTCACACAGCAGAACATTTTCCTATAATGTTGTCTCTAGAAGTTAGAAAATAGCTTATTGGAAGTTTTCGTTATTTAATTTTTATTGCTGTTAAAGCAGGATATATAGTTATAAAATGCATAAGAAACAAAAACTAGAAAGCAAATATATATGTATTCTTCTATCCAGAAATAACTGCCACTTAACAAATAAGTCAATCATTTTCTAGGACATCTATATACATACAGTGTTTTTTAAAAAACAAGATAATGGGACTTGGGAGATAGCTCAGTGGAATAAGCACTTCCCTGGCAATCTCAAGGGCCTAAGTTCAAGCCCCGTATCTGCCCAAAAAAAAAAAAAAAAAAAAAAAAAAAAAAGTTGTACATGCTATAATGCATTATTTGCTTAGTTAATGATCTGTGTGTTTTCATGACAATAAATTCTTATTTTGTCTAATTCCACGATGTGTTTTCAGTTTCCCAAATTATCCCCAATGTCCTTGAAATGTCAGGGGTTTTCAAATTGGGATCTCATGTGTGACTATGTGTTGCACCCAGTCGCGGCATTGCTTAAGTGTTCTTTACCCCTAGCTCATTATTTTCTATTTTTTAAAAAGTTAGAGTATAAGAACTTTATTTTGTTAATAAATACGTCTTAATTAAGCATTTCAGAGGCTGGGAATAGAGCTCAGCCATGCAGCGCCTACCTGGCAAGCGTGGGGTCCTAAGTTTGATTCCCAGTACTCCCCCAAAAGAACATTTCAGTGGTGAGCATTTTGGTTCCTTGCATTGAAAAATGCAGCTACCAATCCTCTCAGTTTTACATTTCCTGTAAATTGGAAGAGGGCTTTAAAAACTGGATTTGAGTTAAGTACTATTTCTAGAATACATTCTGATACTGTACACTTCTTCCCATCAGATACACGAGACCAGAGAACAGGCCATTGCGATACTGAATTTACATGCTAATGAAGACAAGGGTACCCCTCCACGGGCAGTTATGTTTTCCCCTCTGTAGCCTGCAGGTTATCTATTTGGTGTTACTTTGTTCTATGAGGTGTTTTGTTGTTGTTGTTGTTGTTGTTTCGGTACCAGGGATTGTACTCAGGACCTTGTGCTTGCCAGGCAAGCGCTCATTCTACTGAGTCATCTCTCCAGCCCCATCGTTTACCAATTTTCACAGTGAGGAGCTGATATCATAACTTTGGTGCTAATTCTCTCCCCTCTGTCTTTCTCTGTTTTAATTATTGATGGCCTCTGTTTAATGTGTTACGATCATTAAGCTTTTGGATGCTCCAGTTGTTTTAGCTGTGACTCCTTCAAGCTGGCTCTCCTATGTTCTTTTATCATAGCCCTATTAACTTTTAGAAGCTAGCTTGCTTTGGACCCAAGAAGTTTCAGGACTGGCCTTACATTTTCCCTCTCGCAGTGTTTGAGTCCTCTATTTCTTCAGGAGTTCTTCCTTAGTGTGAAATACAAATGAGACCATGATGTGGGCACTAAGGGTACTTTCTACTCTCTTGATTCTACTTTAGTATTTTTATTGTCCCCCTCTTCTTCTTCTTCTTCTTCCTCCTCCTCCTCCTTTCTTACTCTGTCCCTCACCCCATCCCAGGGCTGGGGAGTTAAACCAAAGGCCTTGCACAACTATGTCACATCCCCAGCCCTTTTTATTTTGAGACCAGAACTCACTACATTGTCCAGGCTGGCCTCAAACTTGTGGGCTCAAGTGACGCTTACTCCTCCTCAGCCTTCTGAGCAGGCGGGTTATACTAGTGCAGTCTAGTAGAAGCGAAGACCCTAACAGTCGTACTGGAAATTAGCACTCGTCTTGGAAAGCTGATGATATTCTGTGGACCCATCTTTTGTAACATCATCACAGTCTGTTTTTCAAGGTGCAAAGTTGTGCTCATTCTGAAGATAGAAACTATATCTGTGATCTCTAAGTCCAACCTATGAAGACTATGAAACAACCTCTGCTTGAAAAGAGTTTACTGGACTCACTTATGCCAACCATGTGGTATTTAGAAGGCATACACAGTTGCCTTTGCATGTCTGCATGCAGGTTCTGCAACCTTAGATTCAGCCAACCAAACACTGAAAAATCCTGGGGGTTGGGAATGACATATGGACTAAACATGTACAGATTTTTTTCTTGACAGTATTTTTTAAACAGGACAGCAGCATTTACATTGTATTAGGCATTACAAGTAACCTAGAAATGATTTAAAGTATATGGAAGGATATACGCAGATTACATGCAAATATTATGCTGTTTTCTACAAGGGACTTGAATACGCTCATGTTTTGATAGCTATAGGAAGTCTAGGAATCCATCCCCTGTGAATACTAGGGGACAGCTGTGGATGCGAGGAAGAGAAAATGGAATCTGACTGAGAGCCAGAGTACCTTTTTCCTGGACAAAGTGTGTAGTTTCCATGCTGAGTCTATATGGCAGCTATTTTCAGTAGTTGGTGCCAGAGATGTGTACAGGATTAAATCTCTGGGATACTGTGCCACCTGGTAGCAGCAGAGTTACTCTAACTAAATAAAGGGTCTCAGGGGCCAGGGAGATAGCTCAGTAGAGTAAGTGCCCGCCTGGCAAGTGCAGGGTCCTGAGTTCAATCCC